TATATATATATATATATATATATATATATATATATGACGTGTGCTTCATACTCACTTGCTGTATTACGTAACACTTGATAGAATCATCGTTGTTTGGATTTCTAATTTCAGCAATAATTGTACTGAGGGAATTACTTTTTTGACTGAAGTAAATTTTGTTAACTGAAGTCAGGAGTTTTCGCCACTCGCTGGAATTTTATAAGTGGACGAGGAGTCTATTAAAATGTGTGGATAATTTTGTATTCTGCAGGTAATTTAACTGTTTCATGGGATCAGTTTCCGCGGTTTCTTGCTGGCTCTGCTGTATTTATGGCTTTATTGAAATTATTTATAGTAAGAGAAGGTAGGAATTAGCTGTCAGTTAAGGCTTATTAGATGGAGGTACTCATCGGTATATTATCCACATCGGATCTGTGTTTAATACGTTTAGTATAGAGTTGAGTGTCCTTCACACCATTCTGTCACTTTTCGATGTTCGGCAGCTGATTTGTGATGTAAACGTTTCTTGCCACGTTTTTTTGTTAATACTGACAAATCTTAACAGTTATGAACCTTAAATAACAAGTGAATCTTTGAAAAATTAAGAGTGGTTAATAACCACCCACATTTTTCCTCCTTTCCTTGTTGTTCTCAACATAAAATTTGTTCATTGTTACTAGATTCATTCTAATGTTGCTGAATGCTTGAGGTAGTCCTGCATATCAAGTTTGAATATTCTGTTGTTTGTCTTTGGAGTTTTTGACCTGATTTTTATCTTTGTAGATACTGTTTTATTTTCTCATTTCTGTTTTTATAGTTCTGGCTATCACTTGCGAAGTATCCGTACTGTAGTAACATACGCATATTCTGCATTATCTCACAGCGACTTTTTTAACACCGGATACTGTTTCACTTTGCTTACCAATTTTTCAGGAGGAAGAAATAGAGCGTTTATAGGGTCTGTTTATAGAATTTTTTTTAGCAGTGTAGTGCGAAAGACAGATGTCTGAGATACCTCCAAATCCATTCGGTGATCCATTTGCGGTTAGTTTCTTGTGTTATGATTCGTTCTTATCATCGAGGACAATATTGTTTTTGACCTAATTTAAGAGTGTTGTGTAAATACTTGTTCTTTCAAGTTGAGGATAAGACGTGCTTGCTTCTTTTAATTGAATGTAATTTGTTTTTTGAAAAACACTGGTTTTGCTTTTTGTCTCACTAAAGTTTTATTAACAGGATCCAAGTGTTAAGCAAGCTGCTGCTTCTGCTTCATCGGATGTGAACGAAGATTATAACCCATTTGCACAAAACACTCGCCCAGCGGCAGCTCAGTCAGCTAGCGTTTCTCAAGTAATTGTTGTTATTAATAATTCCTTTAAGATCTGTTCTCACAAGCTTTGCTCGAGTTTTCATCTCTTTCAAAAACTGCTTTGGTTTCAAACTTGGCTAACTTATTGATTTTTCAGAAATTTTTCTTTTTACGGAAAAGTCAGTTGTTTTTTTGATTGTGTACTTTGAGTTTAGGCTGTAGGAAGTAGTGTTCCTCTGGGTCTTAATTCTCTCACTTGTTATTTTGGGGCTTAAAATGGCTAACATGCTCGAAATTTAATTTTGAATTTTCGCAATCTGGTAGTAGCGTTGTCTGGCCACGAAAAGCGCTTCGTAGATTGATGTTCAATCGATTAATCGATGGTGGGACGCATCTAAATTTACGCTCTGCATAGCGCTTTCGTCTCTTAATTAAAGGACATTTCAAAGTTCTGAGTGTTTCATTAAACTTCTGACCAAACTTCTTTTTTTGTTTTACTCGTTCTCTTTATCAGAGAAACCATTGGCTCTTTCAAAGTTTCTGTGCTTATTGGCAGCTATGATCAACGGAAACTAAAACATAATTTTTCCTTATGACTTCTTCTTAAATTGTTTTCTTAAAAATTCGATAAATCTTAAAATGCGTTATTTTGTTTGGGTGAGTGCTGCTTCATTTCACAGATGCTTTTGAGACACAGAAAAGACCTTATTTTTTTTATTTCGCATAACTGAACGATCTTAAGCAATGCGTACATGTTTTTCTCTAGACTTTTTGGCATTCTTGGGTGAGGAGATTTTTGATTTCTTTTGTGGAAGTTACTGTCACTTTAAATTTCTGGACGTTTTTAAATCCTAATCAATTATTTAAAATAATATTTGTGTAAATATTGAGCAAAGCTCAATTTTTTTTTGTTTTATCGAACGAAAGTAAAATTTTAGCGCAATAGCTTTTGTAATCTACTTCAGCTAAAGTGTTTAGTGGGGATGGTAGGACTTTAAGTTTTCCTGACCGTAGTCTTATTTCAAGCAGTAGGACTGCTACTTATTTGATTGCGCTGCTTAGGCGACCCAAATTGGCTCCGGTAATATTTATTTATTTATTTTTTTCAGAGATCACATAGGTAATATCAAGTAATAGGCCCTAGAAAATCTTTTAACCACTGTTGTTTTGACCTTTCTTTTCTGTTTTAATTTCTCTTTACGAATGTATTTGCTCTACAAATTTTATCCGCTCATGAACGGTTTCGTAGAAGAACTTGAGTTGGTAGTCACGTTTCTTCTTGAATAATTTTTACTAAAAAGGTTGTAAAATCTGGAAAAAGATTTGCTTTTTCTATAATTTTTTTTTGATGAGATTTGCGTTCAAAATCTCCTCTGTTTTTAATTATTTTTAATTATAGCATTCAATTATTGAAAGTTAAACAGGTCAAAAAATTCTCCTTTTTTTATTCGTTGTCAGAAAGCTCTGGAATTGGTCCTTCAGTTTGGAAATGTAGTTTCCCAAGTTTTTTCAAGGTTTAGGTATGCAGGTATTCCCTCTCCTATGTAAGAGTTTCGTGTGAACCCTCGCAAAACTCATCTTAATTTTTAGACAGGTCCATTCAGCTAGAATATTTTTTTCTCTTGCTTTACATATTCTTGAGTGACAGTATTTTGCCAAACAATATTTCTTCTATTTCTTTCAGTTATGTTCAATTATCGTTTTCAAAAAATGAATACTTTTTTCCATCTATTTTTAACAAAACTTACGAGGAGATCTTAGCAGTGTTTGTTAAATAATTTTGAGTTGCTTTGAAGATAAGTTTTACAATTTGCATTTATGCGATTCACGCAATTTGTTGCTGCCACTTGATGAACTTTTTCTATAGTTTCTTTTGGTTTAGGCTCTAAGTGCAAAAAATCATTTCTAAATTTTTAGGCGTTACGAGGTCTCATTCACTGTTGCCATATTACTATTCGTAGTACCTTTTTTTGTTTCACGAACCAAGCTGGACATTGTGGTCTATTATTTCTTTGATTATTTCTCTGTTATGGCTGTCAAAGTGACGAATCAAATTTGTTTCATTTATTTAGACTGCTCCACCTAGTGGAACTATGAGCAGCGATGAATTGTTTCGGCGGCAAGAGGAGCTGGAGAGGAAAGCTCAGGAAATTAGAAGAAGGGAGCAAGAGTTAGAACGTCAACAAAGAAGCGGATTATCTAATTCTAACAGGCCACATAATTGGCCTCCACTCCCATCTTTCATTCCTGTGAAGCCGTGTTTTTACCAAGTACGATTTTGTGTTCGTTATTTTGTGCTATCTTTGGGATTTCTCACCAAGGAAAGAGTTGTGCTGTAGTACATAAGGATTTATGGTATTTTGTTTTTTTAGGACATAGAAGTTGAAATTCCAGTGCAGTTTCAGCGTACTGTCACTTTTGTTTATTACGTTTTCCTTACTTACGTGCTCGCACTAGTGGTGAATGTAATTGCATCTTTATTCTACTTCTTATTTGGCGGGGGCTCTGTGGGCATATTTTTACTCGCCATAATTCAACTTGTTCTGTTTTCTCCGTGTTCATTCCTGTTTTGGTTCCGTCCCGTCTATAAGGCTTTCAGGTTTGGTGCTTTTCTTTCTAATTAAACTGTTCAATGTCAATTATTACTCCGTTTCATCTTTACATCTGCTGTGTAAAAGTTCAGATTTATAGAGGTCTTTTGGTCATTTTTTTAAAGAAAAGGTTTTATGATTAATGGCTGTGATCTTTTTTTTGTGCATCTCATGCTTAACATTTTTGAAGTAGATCCTTCTCATTAGAGCCGCAGTATTATTTACTGTTAAGTTTCAACAAAATCATAGGTTAAATCTTTCTTAATTTGAAATTTTACTAATTATCACTTAACTACATTTATTTCAGAAATGATAGTTCATTCAACTTTATGGTCTTTTTCTTCGTGCTGTTTTTCCACACATTGTTCACCTTTATACAGACGTTGGGTCTGTCTCAGTATGCCTGCGGTTGGGCAAATACCATCGAAGTGTTCAAGTAAGGTTTTATAATATATCTGACAAGTTAAATTTTTTGGTTTTTGTTGAAAGCATAACTTTCCGATATGAATAAAACAATTAAAGAGTTCTATTGCGACATCATTCAAGTGTTATATAGTAAACATTATTCAAAGCTAGAAATTGAATAGGAATTTTTGTTCCGCTTTAAGTTTAAACGCCGACAGGAGAAGAAATCATCCAACCTAGTTGATCAAGGCCTATTTAGTGCATTTTTTTTCTTGATGTGGATTTAAACTAGTTTGTTTTGCTTTTGGATCGCTTTGTAGCACTGTAGACATTTTTTAACTTTGGTCTTTGCTGTGGATAAGGCTTTAGTATAGTTAATTACAGTAGTAAGTTCTGTGCCTTTTTTCTAGTTAGCAGAAGAGAGTGCTCAATTTACGTGTTCTTGCGAGATAATATTTTCAGAACCCATGTTTTCGTTGGATTTCCAATGTTGCTTTCGGCCGTGGCCTTCACTGCAGCTTTTGCGGGAATGATAATCGCTCTAATTAGGGTTCATAAACATTATCGTGGTGCTGGATTTAGCATTGATAAAGCACGTAAAGAGTTTTCCGATGGTGTCATGGCGAATCCCAACGTTCAGCAGGTACTAAATAAAAAATCTAGATGTTATTTTGACTTTTTAAGATGTGGGGAAGTGATATTTGCTTGTTATCTGTTTTTCGGGTATTGGCATTGCAGCGGTTTTTTAGTGATCATTAGGTCTCTGTGCTCGTTAGGTCTCTGAACCTTGCCTTAGCGTCGAAAATTGTGTTTTTTGATTCTGTGTATATTCTAATGGGTTAAGCTTAATGGCAACAAAATTAAAGTAGAGTAGAGTAAGATAAGTTCTAATGAGTTGAAGGAACTCTTGTAGTTGTAATCAGCTTATTTAGTTTGAATGTATAGCTGATTTTATAATGTTGTGTTTACGATATAGCTTCAGTTATTGAATTCTGTCTCTATTTACAGTTTTCTTTTATTTTTTTGGTTTTTAGGCCGCATCTGCTGCCGGACGTGCAGTGGTAACGCAGGCTGCATCGCAGGTTGTCAATCAAGCTACTCAAGGTCGGTATTGATGAATACTCTTGATCCGGATGTGATCATTTTTAACTTAAGTTTTGCGAATCTATTCACTGGTTTTACTTGCCCTGTTTACTTTTTTTTACTGTTTGTTTCCATTTTAGGGAAGAACTAATAGTTCAGTACGTGTTTAATCACCACTACTCTTCGTCTGGCATTTTAGCTTATCTATGAGTTGAATACGTTGTGAGCTTATACAGTGGTTAAGAGATTATCAGTGTCCCAGCGAGTATGAGCACTACTGTTTATTATCCTTTTCACTTTTTTCGCGAAACAATTTCCATTTTGTATGTTCTTACAGTTTTCATATTGTTTAATTTATTGTCAATAATATAAAACGTTCACAAGGAAAGACTGCTTGTTAAGGGACATAAATTTCCTACTGTCCGATTAGCTCTCAAAAGTTGTGTTGAAAATGAGGTTTAACGCGAGATGGTGAGGTCGAGGCTTTCAGTGTAAAACTGGAAAGGAAGTTTATATTCGGTCTATGCTGGTTGCAGTTTTGGACCTTATTGAGTTTCCCCCTTTCTGTCAAATGATTATCCTCTTTTCTATGAAACTGAAGTTGCGCTGGTAAACTCGTTAGACTTGTCTCTTGTTGGGTTCCCTTCACAGCTCCGAAATGTTCTACATTCAGGTGGTTTTTTTGCTTAAATTGTATATATTAAAATAGCGTTTGATTCCCGGAATGAGATTGTTGTTCTCTCTACTCAGTATTATAAATTACACGTGTTGTTGCGCTTCATAGTTTAAAGCTTGATATGTTGTGGAATTGTTATTGATTTTCTCCAAATTTTTTTAGCGCGAGAATTTTTTTGCTAACCGGTTGAATTTTTTTTAGATTGCAAAGCGCGCTTTCCGAAGTCTTTTGTATTAATAATTCACCGCTGCGAAATTTGAAATATGTACACAGCAATTACTTTGCGAATGGGAGGGAAATAAAATGAAAAACAATTATTTTAAGCATGGAGGTCTTATTATTAGGCTTTAAAACAACTTTGAATTATCGGAAATTCTGCGGGGTTCAACTTTTTCTTTCCAGTTTTGTAATAACCTTTGGGTATATATTTATAGATTTGTGGAAAAGTGAGGTTTTGAACTGCTTGGTAAACTTTACATCATTGCCGAAGTGTCAAAGAACTCATATCAAGATTAGTAAAAAGTGTACGTAGGGCTTAAAGTGAACCGACCAACAGACCGAGATAAATTTAAATCACTGCAAATTTTTGGTTTTTTACCGCAGTTTTACTACAGCTTATTCTGTCATTTTTGTCCAGACTTAATCAAAACTTGAACCAGCATTAAAGTTGACTCATGAAATTGACTCAAAATTTTTCGATGATATTTGGCACCGAAGTCCTGAAGTTTTATTTTAAGGTTGGAAAATATCGTAGATTTGTTTCAGGAAATTCGTGCTTACGTACCTACATTTGTTCCTTTTATAATCAGAACAAAGTAACTGTGGGAGTGTTTGGTAATGGGTGTAACAAAAAAAGCAAAATTTTTTACTAGGATTTTATCTTGGATTTACCATAGAAGTTTTGAAGGTAGTAAAGAGTTTAGCGACTATCAGTCAGAAGCGGGCTATTTAGCCCAATTATGAACTGGTTAATAAAGAAATTTTCAGCAGTGTTACATATTTTGGAAAAGATGACAGTGGGAAGCTGATATGAAAAGTTGCGTTGCTGAGTTGCGACAGATGAAAGAGTCGTGTAAAAAAAACCTGATGAACTTTTCTACAATATTGATACAACATTTTGTTATTTTTCTTATGATTTGTTTCTTCTAAGCCAAAAAAGCAGTCGATATGAGCCTGGATTCTTGTGGGCTAAACTTATTGCGCTAAAAGAGGAAGATTGATTTTGACTATTTGGTTTGGCTTTTGGATTTTTGCAGAAAATGATAATGAGTTAAAGTTACTGGATGCATAACGATACGGACCTAAATGAAGAATAGACAAAAAAGAAAGGTAGTGCTTGGGTTTCATTTTCTCAACATTATGGCTTCTGCATACAAGCTTTTATCTTCATATATTAGTTACTCAAAAGCTTCGAGAAAGAAACATGGTTGATCAGAGCTGAAACTGTGGAAAAAACTAAGTTGGTTTTAGAACGTTCTGGAAAAGAAATTTCTAGTAGTTATTGGGTGTTAGCGATAAAGTGATAGTCTTAAAAGGATGTCTGCTGGTTTTTTTTTTTCAGTTGCAGTCAAGTTGTCAACAGTTAGGAACTGTATGTGATCATTTTGTTTATTAAATCAACGAATTACGGAATAATTTTTAGAAAACAGATTGTGAAATGAGTTAATAGTAATCCAGAAATGAAACAATATTTAAAATTATATTTTTAAATTTAAAGCATATATTTGTGTGGGTGACTTGTGATATTCATTGTACAAATATTATCAGAATGATTGTCATCGCCAACACAAAGATCGATTTTAAGGTTGTAAATAAAGAAAGGTGTGAAGATGTTACTGTTGCTGGTTTTGGTAGTGGTGATCTTGTCGCTGTTGATACTTCTTGAAAGCTAACGTTTATTGGAAGAAAAAAATTGGGTTTACTTGAAGTTTGAAAAGATATACTTTTGAAATAAATCTTTGATATATACGCAAACTTTTTTTTTGAGTGTTTCGTTGGTTTAGGAAAAGTATTTTAAAGTGAAAAAAAAAAGTCTGGATTATTGCAATTATTGGTGCTAATGGTCTTTATTTTCCAGTTTTTATTTGGTTTCTGAAAACAGTATAGAAATCACTTCAATAGATATTATAGACACTGGACCGAAATATTAACGTTCCAGCGTTGCATTCTTTCCTGTTCAGGCGCTCTCAAAAAGCGATGATTTTAGCTGCTAAACATCGTCATCATATTAGCATTCTTTTTCACCGTTTTTTTTTCCCTTTACACGAATGTTGATCCTTAAGCATTTGGTGTTTAGTAGAACCTTGTATATGTTTAGGTTATATCAGTTATTTGTTTAATTAAATGCTACTCTAAAATAAATGAGATTTGTTATATTCGTACGCAATATATTACTGTTATTGCTTGATTAATCTTTTAATCGACAAAAAAATTGATCAGAAAATTTGCAATTATGGCTAAAGATTTGTTAAAAATGTTTCTTTTTTTTTTTTTTTTTAAGCATATGTTATAGGTACTATTTTGGCACATTTGTGACAGCACTTAAGTGTTTCATCCACATACAGCTTTAGGGTTTTCGTCATAAAATTCTTCCAAGCAGACAGTTCTGTATTATTGGTATCATTTTCGTTCAGTGTTGACATTTATAGGGCCTATAAAATTTTCTCGTCTTCTGGTGCTCAGTTTAGTTGATTCGCTTGAAAAAATCGAAAAACATCTCAATTTTACAGACAACGATGATCATTCTTTTTTTTTTTTTTCAGGTGTCTTTTTTAGGTTATCAAAATAAGTTTCTGTCAATTTCAACCGCTCATTTTACTTCATTTATTATTTTGTTGTTGCTTTCTGTTTGGTTTTCAAAATATTTCAAACATAAACTGTTTTATACTTTAGTTATTTGCACTGTACAGTTGGACAACAACAACCACAAACGGGGTTGGTTTCAAATTGATATTAATGCTGTGCTGTTTCACGATTTCTATACTTGATTTATTTTTAAGCCAAAAAAAGAAAGTTTAGACAGAATTTAAGGCCTTGTCTGGCACATAAATTTATGTAGTTTTTTTATCCGAACTATACTGGTTACATTTGCATGACTAAAAAGTGGTGAAAAACTAAAAAAACTCTAATGATGAAGTTATTCTTTTATGACTGTTAAAACTGTAAGTTTATTGTTGCCTTTATATACACATATCGAACTGTTTGAAAGTGACTTTTATTTTGCCAATCGTTTC